CCCTGCACCTGCATGGCCTCTGGCTTTGGATCCCAAACTTCATGCCTCCCTTTGCTCTTTCCTCTCCCAAAGCACAAGCCAACTTAGTAGGAAGTGACTTTTCTGAGCACTTCACCCTGGCCGTTCCTGACCTACCTCCTAGGAGCTGCCCAACCGGAAGGGGAAGGGGTTGGTAGCAGTCACAGGGCTCAGCATCTTGGCTTGGGGAGGGGAGCTTAAGCTTCTTGTGGTGATGAATTGAGGGATCAAATGACCCCCCTCCTCTCAAGCTTTAACTAGGTTTTTGGTTCCTGTGGTTCCCCACTGACACTAAAGACAAAAACCCTATCTGAGGACATCACACGTGGGATGGAGACTGGGAAGGGCTTCCCAGTCTCTTGGGAGATGTGTTAGGTTCAGGGACCTCTCAGAGATTTTCAAGCTGATAATTGATAGGTGTGAAGGGAAAGGACTAGGGAAGGGGCTGGGCCAGGGCTAGGGGAGAAGTCAGCCTGGCAGCTCCCACTTTGGTGCACATCCTGATTCAGCTCAACCTCTGACCCTCTGCTGGCCTCAGCCCCCACCCTTGTCCTCAACTCCTATTGTACTCCCTGCTCTCAACAGTGCCTCCAAATTCACTTCTCTCTTTTTCTACCCCAAGGGGAGGGAGAGGCCAGTGTGGCAGGAAGAGGGGAAAACCAAGTGCTGAGCCAGTTCTGAGGAGGGAGGGGAAGCCCTGGGAGAAAGGAAGGGAGGGAGGGCAGGGGGTATTTTGGAAGAGAAGGCTTTACTTGTCCCAAGAGAGAAGGGAGCACTGTCTGAGGCAGTGGCCCAGCTGGGGGTGTGCAACCCCGAGGTCACCCACTTCAAATGGCTTCTGTGTGTGTCTCTCCCATGGGGCAGACTTGCTCTTTGGCCAGCCCTGCTCCATTCCTCATCTCCCGTCCCCCTTCCATCCTAGGATGTCCCCACTCAGCTCTGACCCCCTCTTCCTTGGGACTGCGAGACCTTCCTCCACTCACTTCTTCCCCCCATTTCTCCCTAGAACCCAAAGCCACCTTCTCTGCCTCCCCAGGCTTCCTGCCCCGACATTCTCTCCTTGGAAGGCTGTAAGGGTTTTCACTCTGGTGACCCTGCCGTCATAGATTCAAGGCTGTTGGCTAGTCTCCCACCAGAATGGGCTGGGTTGGGTCACAGACTCAGAGGAAAGGAAGGAAAAAAATGGAAGGGGACTCAGAGCCTGAGGGAGCACAGGGTAAGCAGCCCGAGAGAGACACACCCAGGGGCACTAGGTTGAGGGCAGGATCCTTGGGGCTTGGAAATGAATGGAAAAGGAGCACTACAAGAAGGAAGGGTGTGTGTGCAGAGGAGGAAGGGTGGCAGCAGGAATTAACAAGAATAGAGGAAGACCAGAACACAGGGGTATAAAAAAGACAGAGTCCAGAGGAAACAGACGAGTGGGCTTCTAAGAAGTTTGGCTTGGCTGCTCCCTACCTGTTTGTGGTGCCTTTCAGGGGACCCCTTCACAAGGCAGCTGCGGCTGAGGCGGAGGTAGCCCCCCAGAACCAAGATCTCCTCAGCAGTCGGGTACCGCTTCTTTCCAGCCCCAGGGACTGCAGCGTCAGCTGTGGGTGCCGTGGCTGGAGTGGCAGGGGGTGCAGGGGGCATGGACCGCCTGGGATTGACTGTGAAGGTGTGTCCACTGCGGCGGGGGGCCCCCACTCCTGGCCCTGCCTTCACCCCATAAAATAGGCGGCTCATGAGGGGATCCCCAGGGGGCTGGGGGGCAGGTGGGGCTGGGGGGGGGGGAGACAGAGGGGCTGTGGGCGGGGGCCGCAGTTCCACTGCTTCCTCTTCCTGCTGTCTAGAGCCTCCAGTCCCAGCGTCCTCTGGTGGAAGGGGGGAGGGCACAGAGCGGAGGTTTTGTAGGGTACTCAGAGACCTGCCCGGAGCCCCCACCTCCTCCTTTTCAGCCTCTTCTTCTTCAGCCTTTCCACCAAGAGGCCACAGATGCTTCTCAGCAGACTCTGGGGCGTCTGGCTTCTGAGTTTGAGTCTCTGTGTCCCTGGGTGTCCATTCTCGAACCTTCCCAGAGTGTATGGTCCATTTCCACCCTTCTGCCAGCCTCAAGCTCCTTTCACCATCCTCCACGGGGCAGGGCCTCTGCTCTGCGGCCTGCACTCCTCCAGAGCTGCTGTCTGGAGTGTCCCTTGTCAGAGTCTCTGACAGTCCTGTACTCTCTTCTGGGGCCATCCTTGGAATTGGCCTGTCTTTTCTCCCACATTCCTCTGCGCAGTTTTTTCTTTCTTCTCCTGAGCTCAGCCTCCACTCTGACGTCTCTGGTTGTATCGAACTTTGTTCCTGAGGCTCTCTGGAGTCAGGCCTCCATTTATGGGCCTCTGTCAGGCCCAACTTATGGTGGTCAGACTCTGCTGGGCTCAGTCTACTTTCTACCACCTCTTTTCTCCTGGGGCTTTGTTCTTGAGGTTCTGCCAGTCCCAGATTCCGCTCCGGCGTTTCTCCTGGGCTCAGCCTCCATTTCCGCGCCTCTGACAGCATGGAGATCCTGTCTCCAGCCTCTCCTGGGCTCTGCCTCCAGTCCTGAGTCTCTGAAGGCCTGAGGGTCGGCTCTTGGGTTCCCCCTGTCCCCAGCCTCCTCTCTCTGGCTTCCCTGGGACTGAGCTGCTCTTCCCTTGACTCTCTTCCCTTGAGGTTTGGATCCTGCATGTTCCCAGAGCTGGGTCTCCACTCCCGGGCCTCCAAGGGCCCAGGCCTTCTCTCTGCAAGCTCTTCACTCCGCTGCTGCTGCTGCTGCTGCCGCTCCTGCCGAATGAATCGGTTCTGGTGCACTGGTCCGATGGCCTCCAGCAGGACGGCAGACTTGTCTGGGTCTGGAGGTCCAGCCTCTGCAGTCCCAGAGGCAGGGCTCGGCTCCCCAGGAGACAGACCAAGCTTGGCCCGGCGGCGCTCCAGGAGCCCCCGCTTCCAGGCTGGCATCTGGGATAGACGTTCCCGCTCTGCTTTCTCCCTGCCCCGAACTGCTGCCTCCTCCTGCCGACGCCGGGCTAGCAGCTGTAGCTTCCAGTCCGGGATGGTGGCCATGGTCACCTGGAGGTGAGGATCTCGGGAGCACTGGGGGCAGAGAACAGGAAGGAGAGGCTCCAGACAGGCTCAGGGGATGAGACTGGGAGTGGGAGGGAGGAAGTGAAGGGGGAGAGGTGGGACACAAAGAAGAAGGTGAGGACAGAGGGAAAGAGAGAGAAGAGGCAGAGAGAGAAAGGGGAAAACCAAGAAAAAGCTATGGGCCAAGATGATTGGGGGAGGGGTGAAGCAATGGAAGAGTGGGGATTGGGGCAAAGAGGCAGGAGTCAGATTTGGCAGTACAGGGTTAATGGGTGTCAGAGACAGTCCCAAGGCTGTCAGAAGAGAGAAGGGCGGAAAGAGAAGTCGGTGTGAGGGAGAAGAGAGAAAAGAGTGGCTGCGGGTGAGGTGGGACAGATTCAAGCAGTGAAAGTGGGAAGAAGGTCAGGGAATTCAGCCGGAGAAGGGGCAGCGTGACCCGAGTGGGTGTAGAGGGAGGTGAGGAGGGACGGCGAGTGGAGAGGTCTAGGGGAGCTGGGGAAACGGGGGTCAGAGGGGAAGGAGAGCTCTGTGGCTGCACCCTCGCGCGTCTTGGCGCGGGCCCCCGAAATCCGGGCTCCCCTTCCAGCTGTGCTTGGGCTCCGCCTCTCGGCTCCCCCACCTCTCCGCCCCAGGGCGGACCTGGGGAAATACCCTCCCCCGGGGACTTTTTGAACCCGGGCGCCGGGTCTGCCAGCGCGTTCCCAGAACCCTAACGTCCACCCCCACCCCGGCGCATCACCACTGCCTGCCTCCCCCACTGGCTGTGCCCGGGACTCAGGAGCGCGGAAGACCAGCTCGACGCCGCTTCTCTCCTGAGCCTTCGCGTCCTGGGCCCGAGTCTCGGCTCTCATGGAACCCTGACATTGCCAGCCATCCCCGCCCGGCTCTAGTCGCACGGACAGACAATCTCAGCACAAAGAGGAATCAGCCCAAGGTCCGGGCCAGGGGCCGGAGAGAGGAGACATCCCCTCACCAAGTCTGAAGCCCCTCTGTCAACTCACACGCTGCGGGGTTCCCAGGGGAGGGGGTGCGGAGGAGCCTGGCGTCTGGAGAGAGGCGAGAGGAAGAGGAGGAGAGAGGATCGAGGGAGATCCGGAGACAGGAGGGAGGGGAAGAGGGGGAGGAGGAGGAGTGAAAGAGGGAGCCGAGGAGGAGGAACGGAGACAGAAACCTGGGGGCCGGGCGGGGGGCGGCGACCGCTTTGTCTGAGGACAATGGGGAGAGGGAAGGGGGCGCCGGGCGGAGCCCGAAGAGGGGGCGGGGCCTCGCTCCCAACGACCCCGCGTGGGACTTGGCTCCCGGCTCCCCTTTTCCCGCCGCCACCCCTGGCTCTCCGCTCTCGGCCCCCAGGGTCCCTCACTCCGCTTCGGTCGGTAGCCCCGGAGAACCCAGGTGTCCAGACGCCCACCCCCAGCCCGCCGACCCAGGGCGGCGGCCCGTGACTCAGGCCCCTCGAGGGACTTGGGGAGGAAGCAGCAGCTGCTCGGAGCCGGGCCCGCCCTTCCCATCTCCTGCCGCTCCTCCCCACACTTTGGCATCCCAGGCCCGCCTTTGTTGCTGCGGGGTCCAGGGCCGCCGCCTGGCAGTGGGGGGCCAGTGGGGAGGGAGGCAGCAGGAGAGGCGCTCGGAGGCCAATAGCTGCGGAAGTTCGTTTTCCTCCCGGGGACGGTGCCCACTCTTTTTTGCTTTCGTCTCCCATGGGTACCATGGTGTGCATCGGGGAAATTGGGGAATGTGAAGGAAGGGGGACGGATGCTCCGGGAAAGTGGGGGTGGGTCCACTAGGAGTGGCCGCCGCCCTTGGCTGCCCAGACTAGACTTTGACGCTCCCAGGCTCAGGCTTGCCTTCCTTCCCAAACTCAGCCCTGCAAGCTTGAGACACTGACAAAATGCGCGCTATACGTAGAAAACATCAAGCTGAAATTTATTTTCCTCCATTATGTCTTCCTCGGGAGAGCAGGGGGCCCTTAGTCACCAGAATTATGAGCAGGAGAATCCTCTCAAGTAGGTTCAAGTACAGGGGGCGGGGCCTAAGGAGGTGGAGAGGCCAGCCAGTGGGGATCCTGGAGGGACAGGCACTACTGTCAAACTTGCAGATGGGAGTCCAGCTCCTAGGAGGGGAAGCCAGACTTGGAGATGATCCCTGAGGTGCAGAGGCAAGTAACTGCGGGGGGGAGTAGTCAGGCTGGACTCTTCACCTTTTGAGGTTGGTGAGGGGGGTGTCAAGCCCTAATCTGTGAGGAGACCAGTAAATTCCCCACCCCTTCTTCCTTGCTGGTTAGAAGTGCACCTTGGAGTCCAGTGGCTGAGACTCAGAATTTAAGGTATGGAGATGGACCCTAGGGAGGGGAGTGGACCAGACAGGTCCTTTGGTCCACGGATTTAAGCCTCTGATCTAAAGCAGCCAGGGCCTGGATAGCAAGGGATTTGAATTCTGAGGGGGAGAGGAAGTACATGACTTGGAATCAGAGTTAGCTCCTCATTTGGCCTCCCCATCCTGGGGTCGGGAGAGCAGGTGGAGCTTTCTTTGCAGCTGGGCCCGGAGGTAGCGGAGGTCTTGCTGGTCAAGTCCGTGAGCCAGGCCCAGGTAGAGGGTAAGGAGGAGAGCAAGGAGGAGGCGATCAGTGCCTAGGGTGGGCACTACCCACAGCACTGTAAGCAGCTCCACACAAACTGGGTGGCGCAGGTGGGAGAAGAGTCTCAGAGCCCGGGGAGACTTGAGGGCCAGAGGCTCACCCAGCCCCAGTACATGGTAGTACACCTAGGAGAGGGAGAACAACTTAGAAATGGAGTCAAGCCCTTTTCAAAACTTAGCCACCTTTTCCTCCCCTTCTAGGCATGCTTCTGCTATAACTCAGGTCCAGGGACACTCTTCTGACTCCTGTGTCCCTGACCCTCATCTCTGGGCCACGAACTTTCCCCAGGCCCAGGAGGCCCATGGTTTTTAGCCTTTGAGGGAGGGCTGAGAGGAGACTATCTTATAAGAAAGGGAGATAAGGGAGCCAAAAGCAAGAGGAAGATAGAAGAACATGAGAGGAAGAGAGGGGGAAATCCTTGGAAAGAGGTGTTCTAGAAAGGATCAGAGATCTCAAGTTGGGATCTGGCAACCTCACCTGTTTGAGGCCCATGAGCTCGGCGTAGTCAAAGACGAGAAGGATGCTGAAGATGAGGAGCCAGGAAATGACGTGGAGCACAAAGCACAGGAGGGGCACCCAAGTGGCCCATGGCTCAGCTCGAGCTGCCCACAACACAGGGCCTCTGGGAATGGGCTCCCAGTATCGCATCACCAGCTGGGGAAGGATGAGGGGCTAGGTGTCCCAGCAGCCCATCTTTGAGAGACCTAGACCCAGAGGCTGCCCACCCCAGGCTGGCCTGCCACTCTGCCCACCTTTACCATGAGCATCACCAAGAAACAATCACCACATGGAGGGTAATGGGTGGGGCCCCAAGTGTGTAAGATGACCTGTCTCTACCAGAAGGACTTACAGAATGGATAGGGGTGACTAGAGAGGTGCACAAAGTAGCCTATGCCAAGCACCCACTGAGAAGACAGATGAGTGCTAACTGGAAGACTTCTCCTGGTTTTGAAGAAAGGGTAGGGCTGAAGAAGTTAAGGAGAGGATCTCAAGCAGGACTCCGACAAAATTGCAGAGGTGAGAGTGCACATGGCACACTTGGGGAATGAGAAGCAGTAGTACATACTTCTCGATTAAAAAAAAAAAATAGGGTATGTGCCGTGGAGGAATGGAAGCTGAGATTAGTTCTGAATACCCTCAGTTCTTCTCCAAACTGTTTCCACATTTTATCAGAAGCCAAAGGTCCTTGCCCCTGCAATCTAGGTCATCATTCCCAGACTGTTTCCCTTGGGGACTCAGCTGCCAGGGCCTCATACCTGCAAGGCCAGGGCAGTGCATGCCACGTAGAGTGACCTCTGAAGGACCCCAATGTACCGGGACATCCAAGCCTTCACTGTCTCAGTTGCCATGAGGCTGTGCTGCCCCACAAATAGTAGCAGGAGCCCTAGATCCCAAGCCAGGGGCGCAAGAATGCTTCTGTCCTGCAAGGCAGCCAGCCATCCTTGGCGGGCATCTAGGGGGGAGTTGGAGAAAGAGACAAAAGAACAAGATGGTAGGAAACACCCCCTACCCTCTTCTCCTCTTGGGGCCCCAGGCCAGGTCCCTAAATGCTTTCAAGAGTCTTAATGCTTCCTCTCTAGCCTTTGCCCACCTCACTTCCCCATTCCCCATTCCTTCCCTCTTTGTCAGGCCTCCTTCAGAGCTGGGAAAGATGATTCCTGCTGGGTAGTGACAAAGGCATGCAGGAGAAGCCACCTTTGGATTATCCCTCATATTGCTTCTCCAAAGTTCCTTTTTTTTTTAACACTCTCCTCTCCATAGTCTCTACGAAGCACTTTCCTTAGCATACTCGGCTCATGGCCCTTTCCCTCCACCTCAGTCTTCACTCTTTCCCCTCTCCAAACCGCTAATCCGAGTTCCTAATTTAGCCCTCAGGCCTCCCCTGCAGCTCCTCCCAGGCTTTCTCGTTTATAGTTCCCTCTGCCGGACTTCCCCCGTCGTTCGTCTACAAGCCCCGCCCCCGCTCCCTCTCCTCCGGCCCCACCTCCCTCCTCCAGAGCTCATCTTCCATCCCTCCCGCTCACCCGGACCACCAGACTCCGGCATTCCTCCAAGAAGTGGCCGAAGGGAGGTAAAGCGCACGAACTCTACTCCGGTGCCAAAGGCCAGGATGAAAGAGGCGAGAGCAGCAGGAGCCAGGAGCAGAGCAGAGGCCATGGCGAGAAACCGAGAGGTTGGGAAGGGGGCGGGCTTGGGGTTCCCGCGGCCGCAGGCCCCGCCTCCCGCCTGGGATCCTGCCCAGGAGGGCGGGCTCCTGCGTGCCACGCCCAGGCTTCCCGCCCGCGGCTCGTCGCTTCTGCCACCCGCGGTAGGGCCGAGGCCCGGGTGCCTGTCCCCAGCCTGCCCTCTCCGCGTCACAGAGGGAATGTTAGAATCCAAAGTGCGAGGGGAAAGGCCATTGGCTCTGCAGCACCTCGGTTAGTTTTTTCCTGGGTTCTTGTGGAAACAGCAGTAGAAACCCCCTTTAACAGCCCTGGCTGGAAAACAGCCTGAGTCAGAGGTTCTATAAAGTCTCAATGAACACATAACGAACGGTGAGACTACGGCTGAGAACCCAAAGTCACTTAATACATCTTGTTAGATTGAAAAAATAGCGACTATTTTACCACAAAATAATGCTTACTCCGTAACTTATGAGAGTTGTTGCTTCGACACTTGCTAAAAAGGGCAGAGAACTTATCTGTAACACTAAAAGATTTGTTCTAATAATGCCAAAGGCTGATTTGTAATCATGAGAATAAAAATGTGAACATATTTGTGGTAGCTTTATTATAGTTGTAAGCCCTGGCAGTAGGCAACTTTTACCCAAGGTTGTAATTATCTATGATTTTATTATCTATGACTTTACTCTGCAACTTCATCAGCTGGACTCCCCTTACTACTCAGAAACCACTGAGATCTTTTGGGTTAACACATTTTCCCTACAGACTTGTTTGTAATACAAACATTCATATCTACAAAGCAAAGTAAAAGTAAGGTTTACGCCATCAGATTGAAAGATCGTGGAGTTAAGGACCTACTCACAGTAGCTATCACCATAGTATGGACCTAAGACATCGTTAAACTAATTCCCTCAACTTATAGAAAAAAACAGGCCCAAAGAGATAAAATTCCCCAGATGAGAATCACGGAGCTGCTAGTCCTGTGGGCTCAAGGATGATAAAACTGCCAAACAGCGTCTCAGCCTCTTCACATAGCTCACTGAGGCTCAGCACCCCAACCTCTGAATCAGTGCTATTGTGTACTGTACCAGACGTCTTATGCTTCCCTTCCAGACTCACTCCACCCTGCTTTCTGCTTCACCAAGTTGTCTTGCATGGACTCGTAACATCAATGAAAATCAGTTTTTACTGAGGAAGCCCTCTGCAGAATGGCGCCCTCCTTACCCTTTTGGGCTTAGAGGTAGTCACCACACAGCTGTGCTGCTGCAGTCTTGTCATTTCTCTACACTCTGCTTACTTCTCTGTACTTTTTACTTTATTAAACTCTCCCCAAATTATCCTAATTTGACTGTGCCATCATTTCCTGCCAGGCCCCTGACTGACAGACGCTTATTACACAATGTGCTACAAGCTGTGGGATTCTCTGGAAGTTTAAGTTGAGTCACTTAGTTAGCTACTAGTCATGAGGTGGGAGTGGTAAGTAGGGCTATCGAGACAGCGGGTACCGTAAGGAATTCCATGGACCTCAATGATATGGACAGTTTCACACAGTATGAGGCTTTGAACTGTCAAGGGGACTGACATTTATTTTGTCCTACAGTGTGCCACATCCACAATGGCTGTGCTTAATATATATTAAGAGATTAGGTATGTTTAAAAGCCAGTATGGTGTCTGGCAAAGCTCATGCTATTTTTACTACATCAATTTTTCAAACTTACAGATAACTTACCTGCAGAAATATGCACAAAACTAATCAA